CATTCCTGGCCCTGGCACAAGGGTGAATGCTCAGCTACCCCATGGCAAAGAGACATCAGCTCTGTTGCAGGAGAAGTGAATCCTCAAAGCACTAGAGTGGTACAGAAAGCCCTGGGCCTCTGCGAGTGCTGGCATGAGGCCACACACCTCAGGACTGCGATGGGCCAACCTGAACAAACATTAACCAAGGGGACTCTGCACTGCAGTTACTCAGGAGGTGTGGACGTGGCCAAGGCTGTTACAGCATCACTGTGGCCTGGTGGGATGCATACAAGAAGCTCCTCTTGGTCCCATTCTCAGCAAATGAGAGACTGTAAGGTTTACTATTATACATGTAGAAAAATTTAGGAGATGATAGATAAACAAGTAATCAACAAAGAATGGAAGAAGTCCTGCAAGTTCAAAATAAGACATACTGGTAGTGTAGGTACAGTAAAGGCCCCACTGCCAGGCAATGTGCACAAAAACTACAGCATCCCCCAACGCTGCTCAGTGCCCTTTGCAGCAGACGTGCAGGTAACAGTAAGAAAGCCAGGGATTCCGTTGTGGTTTCAGCTATAACTGTGTAGTTCCTCTGTGTTCAGTGCGGCTACATGAGGTTTAACATGGGGGAATGGGCCTTTCAAGCCACTGGAGAAAGAAAATGAAACTAAATTTTCAAACATGAATGTCATTTTAACGCATCCTAGGCATCATAATTTAACAATGAAAGACAATACTTAGGCTTTCTACTGGTTTTAGGCAAGAGATTTCTATGAGAAGAAGGGCACAGATTCACTTCTGGAATGGACTTTGGTTCGGGTGAGGACACATAGCATATCCCAACAGAGTCTGCAGATGGTGTAAATCACTAAACACTCATTTTCACCACCTGAGCATTCCCAGCACCACCTTTTTAGGTCCCAATCAGCACTTTTACTAGTCATGCAGAAACACACTAAGTCCAGCTTGCAGGCTGAGGGCAATTTCAGATTGAGGAACAACAAAGCTCTTTTCATTTCATTGTTTTTCCATTATCATACCATTCTTCTTGTGACAGTCTGATGCAATACACAGCTTGAACCTCCAAGAAGAAATGGAAACCATTAAAGAATATAATACGACAGCGTCAACTAGAGCTTTCAATACATATGGGTCTGTCAGAACTTTCATTATTTATCCAGGTTCTGAAGTATGTTTGTATTAGCAACATAAATTAATGCCACGTTGAAATTGCTATACAGAGTGTTACCCAGAGTGAATCACTGCAGAAGGATGCAGAAGAATGGATGAAAAGGGAAGGAGAAGAAGGTGCAGGAGGATGAGAACAATTTCAAGTCATTTCTAGTTTGCTTTCCCCTGAAATACATCACCCTCAATAACCATTTTTATAACTTGCTAAAACTAAAAGCTTGGGGGAAAAAAGGGGGTTTTGTTATCAGTCTACCTATTGAGGAGGTGTCTTGTTTATATCCCTGACCAATCTTTGCAGTCTCAAAGTCCTTCTGACACCTGTCTCTGCCTTCGCGTTCCTACTGCAAACAAGGCAAAGCATCACATGCACAAGCATGCACCTTTCAAATGCATACAGATGCACATACATATGTGCACACCTTTCAAATGAGCTTTCAAAGCCAAGCTGAAAATTTAACGATGATAGTTTGCATCTGTGACCTTTGTCCTATCCAATCTGAACTGCACACACAGCCTGAGGGGCAGCAGTTTCAGATGACAGTTGATGTTATTAGTTGGTATATGTTTACCTTGATACATCTCCGTCCATTGCTGATAGCAAACTATGTCATTGCATACAACCTTCTTTTCCTTATGTTACTGTCACCAGTGGGAGAAGACTCAACTAGTCTCTATCTGGGTGTCCCAGGTGACGACAGCACCATCTCTTGGCCAACAACAGAAATCTAATAAAACACCTAATGGCCAAGGCTACATGGCAATTCTTTTTGAAAGCCCACTGGATGTTACCTCTGCCTAAGCAGCCACACTACTATTTTACTCTACACAAAGTGTCACTCTACAGCAGAAATTTAGTCCTTTCCATTTGGTTTGTACTGTATTTTTTTTTTACTTTAATGTAAAACTGCAGAGATCTCTCTCACTCTTGCACACTCACATACACACATCAGAGCTGCCTGTAAGGCTCATTCAATCACCAAAGTATCAGTCTGCCCTACCAACACTTCTAGGACAAGTTTGCCACGTGGCTAAAGGTCATTTCAGAATGAACAGCTGATAGAAATTAAGTTTGCCTTCATTGTGCTGCTGCATAGTTGCTCAGCTATATTCAAAATCCCCTGTTTAGACCTAGTTACTATTTGCTGTGTGTCTAGGGCTGGGATTTCAGGGGAGAAACGCACAAAAGGATTTGGGGTTTTTTTCGTCTCTGTAGCCAACAGTTCTGTTTTCAAGCACAATTTCTTCAGCGAGGGCTTGCACCTCACCCCTGACATCTGAAATGGCAGCAAACATATGCTACCTGGATTGGTGGCTCCAGACCACAAACTCCTGCTCTTGGGGGTGGCTGGGCAGTGGAAAGGAGGAGGCAAAACTGAACTCCTCCTGCACCTCTGCAGGGTGGTATGGCAGAGACGTTCTTTTGTGGTCTCTCATGGAGATTGTCCTGCTGTAAGGAGTCTGTGGAGAAATAAACAGGAGTAATAGAATCGGCATGTGGGACACCTAACCATTCTCAATGTTTTAAGTTATCACTCAGTGAAACAGAGTGCAATTAGGATATAGTTAACTATTTGTTTCCTCAATATTAGTAGTATGCTTTTAGGAAAACATTGAAAGACCAGCATAAGAGGCTGGTGAAGGGTCTAGAGAACAAGTCCTGTGAGGAGCAGCTGAGGGAACTGGGGTTGTTTAGCCTGGAGAAAAGGAGGCTGAGGGGAGACCTTACTGTTCTCTACAACTACCTGACAGGAGGTTGTAGTGAGGTGGGTGTTGGTCTCTTCTCCCAAGTAAGAAGTGGACAAGAAGAAACAGCCTCAAGTTTTGCCAGGGAAGGTTTAGATTGGATATTAGGAAAAATTTCTTCACTGAAAGTGTTATCAAGCACTGGATCAGGCTGCTCAGGGAAGTGGTTGAGTCACCATCCCCGGAGGTATTGAAAAGCCATGTTGATGTGGTGCTTAGGGACATGGTTTAGTGGTGGACTTGGCAGTGTTAGGTTAAAGGTTGGACTCGATGGTCTTTTCCAACCTAAATGATTCTGCGATTCTAGGAAAGAAACAGCTTTCTAGCAAAGTGGTTTTCTCTGAAGCATCAACAAGACTTCAGCTTCCTTGTTTGAAGCAATAGGCAAGGGAACACTCAGAGTCCTCCTGGCGCTGGAGCAGAGCTCCTCCGCTGCCTGCCCAGACTGATTCTCACTCAACACACTCCACTCCCCCAGCTCTCTACTGCTGCCTTCCTCAGAGGTGTCACAGTGACATCCAGCTAACAAAGACTCTTATATAGAATAGAAACACATCCTCCTGCTGCTAAATGACATGAGAAATGGCTTTCCTACAAGAAACTGTCATATAGGACTCAAGTAGCTCAAATGCTCCATTAGGACACACAAAAAGGATGTTCCATGCATAATGAAAAAAGGAAAGTATCATATTTTGTATCACACAAGGACTGAGCATCCTAATTGGCCAGGACACATGCCCAGAATAATAATTGCCCCTCCTGCAGGCTCCACAAAGCACTGTGCCAATGCTATGTGGATATTTAATGCAATAACTGGTTAAAGCAATTGCTGATGCTGGAAACATGCCAAAGCACAGTAGCAGAGCTGCTGTTCATAATGCATAATTATTAGAGCACATGATAATTTAGCAGAAAGCTGTGCATTGCTGTATCTGTAAAACACTGGAACTCACAAAGCTGGTTCTTAACTGCCATGCATCTAAAAGGCTGAATGAAAAATACTATGAGCAGAGATATTTTAACAGAAACAGGCAGTGATTAAAACATTATTTTTTTTTTCTTTTACCTCCCCAAATTCCTCATAGATCTGCTCAATATAAGTCGTCCCTTTCCTTCCTGGAGAGACCTCTCCATGGATTTCTGACTGATCGCTCTCACTTTCGTTTGTCTTCCGGCTGTTCTCATGTGTTTCGTTCTCCGACTCTTCTACATTGTCTCTCTCAGACTTGTCCGAAAAAGCATCATTTTCCAAATGGTGGTGGTTCTCCAGGGCTGATTCATTCAAACTGCAACACACAGTTCGTTATTTGATTCAATTTGATTTACAAAGTGAGATTACTTAAGGCCTTTCAGATAAAGCAAAAACAGCCCTCCGGACTCAACATAGGGTGTGCAGCCCAGGAGAGTAAAAGACACTCATTTCCTGAATAGGAGGGGTTTTATCATGGAAACAGTGAGATACCGTCCATCAAAATTCTCCCCTCCAAACTGCAGATGACAAAATCTGCCACAGAGCTCCAATTACCCCCCCTTACACAGAACTGACGCTGGCTCCGGATGGGCGCCCACATACCAGAGGGATACAGAGCACACACTAACAACTGTACACTGCTGATTAGAGAACTGAAGTGTCAATCAGGAGAGATTTTTCCCTTTACAGAAGCAAATCAGTGGATTGTAGCATATGAGAAAAATGTGACATTATGCAATACACTTTCTTTTCAGTACCACTGCTACTTTATTTCAACAGATAGTGGTCCTAAGTCAGCTCTACATAAGAAAAGGCAAATTTAAAAATCAATAGAAGCAAGTATTTTCACACCACCCCCCCCAAACTAACCTGGAGAGCATGCTTTTCCCAGATAATGCTGTGTGGAAGAACTGAGTTGAAAGCATGGACTGGACAATTACATGGAAGAAGAATATCCAGATTATAACAGCATCCAAGGCAAAGGATGGAAGGTGTAGCAAGCTTCATGCTCAGTGATCCAGGCTTTAGAGAATGAGGAGAAAGCCAAAAATTCTCTCTCAAGTAGCCTATAGCACCTCCATTTGAAAAAGCAGATGCAGTTCATACGACAGATGGCAGATGTGATTAGACAGGCCAGAGATCAGATACTGAAAAGTATTCACTGAATGCCCATTTTTTCAAGGGATATTTAGCATTGGCTTCAGTTTTCCCTATTCATATATGTCTTCATGCACACATCACCTCTTTCATGGCCTAGCCTAGCTCTCAAGTACTGATCTTCTCAGCTTGACCTTCCTCTGAAGATTTCTTACCCAAGTCCTCACGCAAAATTGCTCTTGTATAGAACAATAAGAAAAGATTTCCAGCTATATGAGGAGTTTCAGAGGATCTAAACAGGCCCTGGATCTTGAAGAGTTTTCTTACTTCCTGTAGTCCGTCTCCCTCTCAAAGCAAGATTTCTCTCCTCAGTAGCTAGGAATGTTCTATCAAGCTTGAAGTCTCTCCATGATGGGCCTCTTCTCAGGCCATTCTGGGCATGTTCCAATTTTGATTACAGATTAATGCTGAAAATTCCCCTCTCTTGCTCTCCCTTTTTTTTTTTTTTTTAATAAAATGATAATTAGGCATTGCTAGTTAAAGCCAGATTAAAAAAAAAAAAACCAAAACAAAAACCCACAACAGAAGAGTTAGAACACAGAACTGGCATCAGCTTTTCAGCAGATCTCAACTTCCAACTATGTACTGAAATAAGCTCATGATTTTTAACATGCCAAGCAAGCCACATTGTGACAGTCACAGCTCGGTTTCTGGAGAAGCTCAGTTTCTAGAGTTCTTTTGAAAGTGTTGTCTACAGCTTTCTGTGCATTTAGGAAATCTTTCTTTTAACTCCATTTGTATATCTATATATGTATGCATATATGTCTATGTGTGTATATATATATAAACTACAAGGGTTTTAAATTCACAGTTTTACTGTAACATAAAACTAAGATAATAAATCAGAGAATCAGCGATCACTATACTCCAGCACTAATAATTTGCTGTTAGACATTACGTGTCTTCATCATTCTAGCACCAGGATGTTACTTTTTTTTTAAGCTATCAACCAGCAAGTGTAATGACTGATAACCAAATACACTGGAAGAATAGAATATAGCACATGCATGCATTTAAGATAATAAAGGAGAAAAAAGGTGAGGAGAGAGCCCTCTAGAGAGATTATCCCATGATTCCTCAGCACAGATACTTCCTGGACGGTAGATCTAGGAAGTTACTAGTTATTAGTTGCTGATCGTTTAAATGCCTAATTTATTTCTTAATTTTTCAATGATTAGCTAAATAATGTGTTTGTCTGTGGTTGCTATGCCCCCTTACCTAGTGAAAGTTTTATCCATGAGGTAAAAATGCTTGAAAGAACAGTTCATTATAAGGCTTATGGTTCATGGCTGAGAAGGAGCACTTGTTTCTATCTCACATTTGTAAGAAGAGCAAGTGTTTTTCAGTGTCACCTGCCTCACATTTGGCAAATATTTGAAGTTTCAGTGGAGCAAATTCTTAGTTTCCTCTGCTCCCCCCCCTTATTTTTTAAGCATTTCAGATTTAGTCCAAGAGGGAACTAAATTCACACAAAATCCCACTCAACTGTGCACTCAATACCCACCAGTTACAAACAAGAAAAGACTTAACACATCCAGAGCCAAGGAGCCACTCTGGGGAACCAAAGGGAAAACAGATGCTCCTCATTCTGAGGAACAAATTTGAGATGTTGAAGTGGAGCCAGGCTCTTCTACACCTCCAAACAGAATCATCACTGAATACGTATGATATGCTAAAAACAAAAGCCACACCATGAGCTTGAACTAAAATCAATGTAAAGACTTCCCAAGGGCTTCCAATGGGATTTGGACCAGGCTTTAAAAGCTGGGAGGGAATGACTAAGCTAAAAGTCAGCACTGGATCTCCACCATGAACATGAATAACTTGCCATTTTGCAGAGCTAATTTACTGTTTCAGCATATTGGATCTGTCTTACACCAGTGCTTTATTCTCTAGGGGCAT